ATGATGCACCCCCCACTGATCATCATCCACGGGAACGCCGCCCCGAAGTTGCCGATTGGTCGGCACTCAGGGCTCGTATCGCTTACTGCGAATCCAGACTATCTCTCACTACGCTAGGCGAGCACCAGGCGATGTGAACAGACAATGGGCCCTTATCGATGAGCAGTTACAAGATTTGCGCGGAAGATCTAGAGACTACAGGCGCGCGTAAGCATTCTTATCCTCACTGATACATGGCATATCTTCTGATATGTAACTGCTTTAACAGGTTTTTCAAGATCATCATGGAGCTGGATGATGCTTTGTTTGGTGATCAATTCTTTAGCGAGATGGACACCGAGTTAATACGACCGCCGAGTGAGGCGGAGGTGCTTGCAAAGATGGAAGCGATTCAACAGGAAACCGCGAGGGATGCGGCGGTCACGGAGGCAAACCAGGAAGGCTAGGAAGCCTGCCCTTACACCGCAGAGTTGGGTTTTCACATTTGTTTGCGCTACGATCCCTGCCAACGGTCCCGGTCGCGCAAGGAGACCGCCATGCACATTGACATTTATATTTTTTAGTTGTATTGCTCTGTGTCTGCTGTTATTGTAATATTTCTCTTGTTGTTATCTCGCATGGCTGCTGAGCAATGCAATCACCTCACTCGTTGATAGATTTTGGGCGTATTAGCCACCGCCGTATTTAGGGAAGCCGCCCGCAACTGATCACCTGCGGGAACATGGAGCTTGAGATTCCGTATGCGCGGCGTCCCCATTGTTGCCGGGGTTGTTACGGCGAGCGACGGGTGGGAGGGACGTTCTGTGGCGAGCGTTACAGGGCGCTGATGTCCCAACGCCGTCTCCCACTACAGAAGAGCCGTGATGTGACCGTGGTGCATCTGCCTTGAGGACGGAGGCGGGTCCTGTCTATAGGCTGTCCGGAGCGACGGCAGGTTGCTCCTCTCAAGTTCAGACGGTCACGGTGTGGTGTGCTGTGCCTGTTCCAATGCCAAAAGCATACAGAATAGGAGATAGTGACACACACTTATCATTCATTACAAGAGGAGGAACATTCATTATGTAGGACATACAACAACAGGATAAGGTATACACATGTAGACGTGGTGTCCGCTTTAGGTGGTTATGTAATATGGGTT